TCATCAGTCGCGCGCTGATCCCTGTTGGTTCACCCACGAGCTGGCCATGGAGGCGATCGGATATTGCAAATCCGACTCCATGATCACGTGGAGCTGAGGCGACGTTTCCCACCCAATAGAATGTGTAGCCAGCACCTGCTTCATGCAACTTACCTTGCTTGGCGAGCCGGGTTTCACTGAGCGCCGCAATATCGATGTGGTAGCGCGCCAGCTCCATCGCGACGAGTGCAGTGCGTCGCTCCGGGCGCTCGCTGGAGTTCCGGTCCAGTAGTGTGCGCACGTTCCAGCACCCGATGCTGAGTGCTTTGCGCGCAGGCATACGATTGCATTGGTGGGCAATCGCACGCGAGGTGTTCGTTGTGCTTCGGAGGTTTGCTTGAGGGACTCCGCCCGGAGCCTTTGGCTCAATAGCCTGACCCACAAGGCAGTGGGTGATTTGGAGGTTTGCTTGAGGGACTCCGCCCGGAGCCTTTAACTCAATAGCCTGACCCACAAGATGGTGGGTGGTTTGGAGGTTTGCTTGAGGGACTCCGCCCGGAGCCTTTGGCCCAATAGCCTGACCCACAATGCAGTGGGGAGCAGATCCAGCTCGGGAATGTGATTGCAGAGACAGATAGGGATCTGCTTGACGGCCGTCACACGCAGCCTTTGATGTTTTGGAACGTTTTATCTATGTTTTGCGACCGTATTTGGATACGCACCTGCGACCACGGCAAGACGCAGGTGGATTTTGGCGGGTTTGCGCCAATTTGACCAGGGGCTGCCTGGTTTGAGGCGGGCAGTAGCAATCCATTGAACACCCGGAGGTGGCCTCCCACCGTCAGAGACAATGCGTTGCGCTCGTGCTCTACGCCAATCGAACTGTGAGCTTATAACCCGTAAACCTGTTGTCTCCCATGGCTAGGTTTTACGGGAAGAGGGCCATCGACCACTTCCTAACCTCCGAAGAGGATGGACTAGGATACTGCCAGGGCGCCCACTGCTGACAGGAGAACGACTCGGGTCACCAGCCAAAGCCTTCGATTAAATGAACACCCGAAAGGCAGCGGGTCTAGCACATGGTCAGTTCACTGACTCATGCGGATTGGTGTCCTGGATCTTAGCAGGGAGAAGGACGAAACCCAACTCCCACCCATTGGTCGCCACGAGGAGGCGCCCAGGACATGAGCCAATGGCACAACAGTAGCAGCAGTGGGTAGACCATCTGTCAGGATCTAGCCACCACCAGCCTCAGCGCACCATAGGCTCTCCCGCCATATATATATATATATATATATATATATATATATATATATATATATAAGTGGAGTTTGCTCGTTACCGGCTTCTTTCTCCTTCATTATCCCTTTAATTGAGACTATTATATTTTTGCGGCGCTGGAGCGTCACCCGTTCAGCTGTTCTGTAATCACGTTTGAAATAGAGGAAAGGAATTGCTTTCTTCTTAGTTCACCATGGTTGGCTGCGTGTGGCTGATCCACTCTTTCTTTTGGTTTTTGCTGGAAATTACAACTAATGTGCCATATTTTCCTTCTTGGACGTGTTTTCTGCTTTGTGCTTGTTTACGGCGGTTAGCGAGCGCGTACGATATCTCAATGTCTTGAGTGTTTTGCACTCCTAAAATATGATGCTTGTTCAGTCTATTTTTTTCGTGCCGACTGGTCGCCGCCATTGATCGATCATTGTATCGGTCTGGACAGCCGTATCACTTCCGCTGTGGAAGGGGTCACTTAATTATCCAGCAACACTCGTGTGTGAGACTTCAAGACCTTTGTGATCCATGTAAACTGTTTGACCTAATCGTATCTTTAAAGATCAGGCGCTCAAGGGCTTCGTTTGCGACCAACACTACCATGCAGATCAGAGATGTGGCTATTTCGCACTGACGAAGTCAAGATATTCCTGTTCTTGCACTGCTTGCTACTCATTGATGAGCCACTCGGGTGGGTCATACTTATGTCCACCAGCTAAACCTTTGGCAACTATGTTATGCAGCACTACACCTCTTTTGCACTCGAACTAATCACCTTTTCTTTGTTTGTTTTTTAACACTTTTTCCGACATTCGCCCCGTTAGCACGGGCCTTACAATGTCCGATCGATGACATGTGAAATATGATTGGAAGTCAGAATGCTTTTGATTCTTATCCTCCTCTTGTACAAAGGCTTCGTGTTTGAACATTTGATCTGTTGTGGTACCATTGCAGACCTTGTGTCGATGTTGCTCACGGAACTGTTCACTTAAATGTACTTTATCACTTTTCCATACTGAGGAGACTGGACATTGGCGTGGTGCGGTGGTTTGCGTACCACTGTGACCCATTGAGCTATGCTGGGTGGCACTTACCAAGTGCCCTCAGAGCCACTTGTACCAGACAGGTCAATGGCTAGGGGTCATACTAACTCAGTCTCACAATCCTCCTTAGTGGTTAGGGGGAGGTCGATAACTCTCTTTCGTTAAAACCTAGCTATTGGAGACAACAGGTCTACGGATTATAATCTCACAGCTCTATTGGCGTAGAGCAGTAGCGCCACGCATTGTCTTTGACGGTGGAATGGCACTTTCCGGTGCTCAACGGTTTGCTGCAACCCGCTTCAAGCCAAGCAGCCCTTGGTCAAATTGGTGCAAACTCACCAACTCCCGCCTGCGGCTGGACGTGGTCACAGGTTCGCAACATGCTGCGGTCGTAAAACGCATATGTACTCTTCTAAATCTTCAAAGACTGTGTGTGATCGGCCTCAAGCAAGGCCCGATGGGTCTCTGCAATCACACTCCAGAGTTGGACTTCCTCGCCACTGCCTTGTGGGTCAGGTTATTTAGCCAGAGGCTCCGAATAGAGTCCCTCAAGCGAACCTCTATGTTCCACACTACATTATGGATCAAACTGTTGCGGCAAAGGCGAGGGACAGGGCACCTCTCTCATAATGAGTAGCCGGAGAGTATCCTCTGCCCTCTCAACCACGTCAACAATACTCTCACTTCTTTTTTCGTCGTCTTCTTTTCCTATTTTTCTCTATTACCACTTCTTCCTCGTCTATTGAGCAAGACGCTGTCACTGACCTCGCATCTGCTGTCATCGTTACATGTAGCTCTTCCATCAAGCCTGGGTATACATTTCACATTGGTTCTTTTAAATTTCGCACTCTGGGTGAGATCGTCCAACAGATAGCAGTTACTCTCACTCTTCACTCTCTTGGTGTTGATGTGCTTTGTGTCTCCGAAACACGCATGAAAGATAACCGTGTTGTGACAAGTTTTTGACTCCCTGGTTCTGAATCTGACGACGATGACTACACTCTTCTCATCTCTGGCGATACTGAATCAGTGACTTAAGGTTATTACGGTGTTGATATCGTTCTCAGCAAACATCTTGAACTCCATCTGCTCGAATGAATCTCTGACACGATTTGAGACCCTGAATAGGTGCTTTCACACTGGTGATTGTCAACTATCGTGTCCATCTTCAAGAAGGGTTAGCGTACTTTGTGCTGAAATCTTCGACTCATTAGCCTTGTTTCCTTTGTTTCCAAGCTCACGCGCATCATTCTCCGACGACTTACTGGTCCCCGGCCGGTTTCCGCCCTGGTCGTGGTTGTATCGACCCACATATCTTCTCCTCGCCAAATGTTTTAGCAGAGACGCACATACAGATAACCGACTATGGTGGTTTTTTTGACTTGAAGGCCGCCTTCGACTCTTTTGACCTCGCCGGGTTGTGGCACTGTCTATCCAGCCAGCCAGCTTAATTCCTAACGCACTGAATATACAAACACTACTGGATAGACTAGTGCGTAGCGCTGCACGCTTTGGCATGTGCTATGCACCTTCAAAGTACAATCTACATTTTCAAGACTGAACTGATACGTCACTTTTTCCTGTTATCACTGAACAGCCACTGGAAGTGCTGGACCGACTCGCTTCTCTTGCTAGCTGTCATTATTATGGTTAACATCACATATATATATGTGTGTGTGTGTTGTGCTTGGTTCACCCAGCCACGTCGCCAGAAAGAACTCGCACCGACTCTGCACAGAAACGCTCTATTTACCAATCTGAGGCAAAAGTACAACTACCAGTGTAATTAAAACTCACTCGCCCACTCGATCGATCGCCTTATCGACCGCACTGAGGCAGGCGGTTGGGTTCGCCCCAGCTTTCAGCCACCATCATAATATATACAGTGGATTCTTGAATAGTTCGATCGAATAACACGATCAGGATTACTCAAACTAAAAAATATGAACTTCATCTTATGTAGTTCGGTTGTGGAGTTATCGGCATGCTTGCGCCCGCTTTATTGCTTTCAGCATTTTAAGTCTACTGGTAATCGGATTCACCACTTTTCGCTGCCTCAAACGTGGCTAACTAAGCCGAACTATAAGTTAATGTGTTTGGCTTTTCTGTTCTCAGTGTGCCTGTAATGCGCAAAACACAGTCGATTTTCATCTGCTACACTTTTGCTTGGTTCATTCATCCCTCACCCTCCCTAGGCGTACCCTGTTTTGCAGTGCTTTCTACCAGCTACAAATCTTTCGGGAATATGAAATCTTGAGTATTTCTATTTATCGTCATATAGCTCCAGAGACTAATTAGCATCCTCCACTGAACCCAGTAAATAAGCATTTTTATGCAACGAAGATATGGAATGTGCTCCCACCAAACTGCAGTCTTCCATCCTCAGTCTAACTGACGTTTGATGAAACGCGAGTACTACCGATGCTTGCTCACCAATCCACGCGTTCCACAGGTTCACATATACGTATACTTCCCTCACACAGACACGTGTAATGTGCACTTGTGTCATCATTCGCGATCGTTCAACTATGTTAATATCATTCTCTGCCCTCAATATGCTTATGCAAACAGCCGTCTGCGTATGTGTTACTCGCGCAGATACATACCCATACGTTGTGTAGTTGATCTATTCCCTTTGGGGCGCGGTTTCCTCCTAATGTGCTAAAAATACACCGATTACTGTTATTTGCTTATCTCGCTTTATAGACTGCCGTCTTCAATAACCGACGTATGGGTACCATCCTGACTCTGCAAGAGCGTCTCTTGTCTGTTTTGGCATGTCGTGTGAGTTCCACTTTCCGATGTTTGCTTATCTAACTTTTACTACCAGTCACCTCATAGGTACCAGTAGTACCAGTAATAATAATAATAATAATAATAATAATAATAATATGCTTTTCCTGCTCTTTTGGGTGTCATTTTCGTTTTGCGCACGAATAGATTTCGTCTTTGAAGGTTGGGTGGTCAAACAAATAGGACATTTTCAGAACATTCCTTACTATTATATGATACTCATCAAGGATCGATCTATTGACTTATTGCTTCTTTTGAAGTGACCAAAACACGAACGTAAGTTACTTTTCCGTTCTGTACTTGTCTCACCTTATATCAGACAGAAAATATGGTATGGTAATTGTTTCTCATTTGGGTTCCATTGTAACCTTCAATAACTCAGTGGAAGATATTTTTGGCGATACTCGTTTCCGGATAAAAATATCACTGTGATTGCCAACAGCCTAGGAGGCGTGTAAACGGGAGCCATGATCGATTCGGAGTTACCCCTTACTCTCTCGTCAGTGATATTAGGTTTGCTGAAGCATGGATGCCTGATGTACGCATGTCTGTGGCTTACCAGTGACCCTTTATATGATCAAATCACTCGTTTAGTCTGGCGCTGTTTTCGAGACCACATACCGTCTTTCCCAGCACAAACTAGCAGCCTCATGAAACCAACATTGAGAAGTTGCTATTTCATGTATAGGTCTAATGCCAGTATGCAACTCGAGTGAGCAGCTGCACCGGAACAATGAAACCGCACAACCGGAAGAAGGCGAACCTAACGGATTCGTTGCTTGCATAGTTGTTCGTCTGCACGGCCGTGCAAACTCGCTGACGTTTGGCGGCTCCGCAGAAGGGTATCCCGTTATTTAGTTAATTGCGTCAAAGCAGTAATGTCCTGGGATCCAAAAACATTATTAATGGCAGCAGACCAACCTTATGTATCGGAGTGACTTACGGACCAACCCTACTCCTTGGCACTGATTTGTCTCTACTGAATAAGTGGTTATTTCCGGAATGAGAGCGCCTTTTGCAGCAATGGACACTTTGTTAACGTAACAACAAAACCTTCGTTCATTCTTATTCAGTTGATCATCTAGTGTTTAAACACCCAGATATGCGGGGATCCGTTTGCCGTAAGTCACATCGCCAGGATACTGATGATCACACCACAACTCATGAACCTGCAGGGCGATCGGTACAGCTCTCCTGACTCCAAATGTTGGGCTAGGGGCTAACCTTATCCAGTGCAAGTCGCCATATTCGTCCTCTCCAGTTAACTCTACGCCAAGACTTGTTCGCCACGCGCATTCACTCACAGCTTAGATCGTTTAATTGTCGCCTAACCACGTTTTAATCTCCCCCTGTGGAAGTCAGGCTCTACTGTTTAGACAGAGTGTTCCGCTCGCTTAATTGGCAGATTGCTGTTCGACCGGACCTTATATGAGACCGTGAGCGTCGGAGGGTTGCGTTAATTCTTATGACGCGTTTGAACCTCAAATGAGAACTTCGGTTGATCCAACGCTTGCTGCTTTCGTCCGTTCATCGTTCAGCAGCCAGCTGCTGTGTTCATCTAATTGATACCCGGTACTTTTGCTAACGGAAGTGCATCGACTTTCCAGCTTGCTAAGAACGCGGTAATCATATCTACTGATTGTTCATATCAAATCTTTTTTCGAAGCAACACTTGCAAAGTACAATCGTACTCATGCACGATCATTGGTTCCGAACTCATTCCTAACATATGGCTTTTATGCACCAACATATTAGTTTCTCGCATTAACTGTAACATTAATATCTCGCAGCTCTCAAAGTAAAGGCGCTTTGCGTTGCAAGCAGTTCTTCCCCTGCTATTCTAGCCTCGACTGAGGGTACCTTCATTACCGATTGTTTCTTGCCACCGGTCGTCTGCGCGCGTTGAAACTACCTTTGATTCGACAAAACTCTGTGTAAGCGAACATATGTTTTGGGTAATTCCTCATCTGGATTTTACAATTACACGCAAATCGAAATTTTTTGTATACAGACCCAACGGGTTGTCAGTCAGCCAAATTCATTCTAGTGCGCTATGACAAACCGTCGATCAGGTTCCAGTAGTAGTCACACGCTTGCACAGGTCAACTGCAGTCCGTCCTGGCCAAGGTAGGCTAAACGCGTGCACAGGGTTGATTCGTACAACCGAATGGCGATGGATTCTGCGGCGTGTAATATCCGCTTACGGAAATATTTTGATCGATGTTCTAGAGCCTGACTTTGAATGAATCAGCCGACTTGGTGGTCTGACGCGTATCCGTAAGATGCGCGGCGATGGCAGAGTCCATGACCTTATGACCTCCGTTTCCGAGCAAGGCCGAATGGTGTTCCTTCACTCTTTCGCATAAGCGTCTTGTCGTACGACCGACGTAACCTGCTCCACAGGAACGCCCATTGATTTGGTGTGGACAGACAGCTTATCCATTGGGCTACTGGTGAACCGGATTTGCAGCCTGAGTGTAGACGAGAGACTGATACTATATCCCCTTTGTAAGGTAGTTGCAGGAAAGTAGGTTTTCGTTCCGCTGTCAGGACCGTAGATGCCTAACCTGTTTCGCCTCATATTGCCACCTGCCGCAGGTGGAAGATAGACACCGCTCGCACCAAGATGGGAAAAGGTCAAGCGTTCACTGAGCCAAGTGAGCGCTGTCCATGCCAGCCTATCTGCAAGCGATCAGGAAGAGCTGGAGGAATCGGTTAAGGCAATTATGTCAAAGCAAGAAACAAAATTACGCTCTTCATTCATGAAGACCCTAAAGCAAGAGGCAGCCACAGCGACTTTCTCTGCCGAAGGTGAGAAATACGTCCAAAATCTGTCTGATTTTCCGCTTGATGGGACCACTATTGAAGTCTTATCACTGAATCCAAAGTTCTACCTCCCTACTAGAAATAATAACAGACTGGCAATAGAAGCACATTTCGAGAACTTCTACACACAGACTTCGGAACTGATCCCATCTGAAGTGCATGCGGAAGAGTTGAAGTCCCTGTTGGTGCATGCCTGTTATCAATATCGGCGTGCACGGATATCGCACAACACCCCAGTGGAACATGAGCACATGCAAGCACTGCAGCGACTACTTAGCAACGATCAAATTCTGCTTACTCGTCCAGACAAAAGCGCGTGCATTGTTATCCTAAACAGAGCAGACTGCCTCAACAAGATGGGTGAAATATTGGCGGATAATATGAAATCCTTGCAAATGACTAGTGAGCGAGACAAAACAAAGCAGATCGAAAATCGACTGTGCGTCTGTCTCAAAAAGCTTAAGAATGGTGGTTATATCAGTGAATTGGTCCATGAAAATCTACGCCCCGTGGGCACGGTTATTCGAAGGCTTTACGGCCTTCCCAAGACCCACAAGCCTAATTGTCCTCTTCGCCCGGTTTTGGACATGAGAAACTCCCCATATCACTCGATTGCTCGTTGGTTGGTGGAACTTCTTCAGCCTGTGCGTAGACGATTCGCTGTACATACCCTAGAGGGCACTTTTGCGTTTGTAGATACCGTGCGTGATGTCAACGTCACGAACCAACTTATATGCTCTCTCTTCGTCACCACACTGTTAATGAATGTCTTTATTTGAAGGGATTGAGTTCATTTGCAACTTTGTTGACGAGAACCATCCTAATATTGGCATACCAACTCTGGCCCTGAAAGAATTACTGCTAAGTTGTCCATTTAACGTTCAGTTTCTATTCAACGGGGATATATACCGGCAGCTCGATGGAGTTGCAATGGGTTCCCCTCTTGGACCACTCTTCGCTGATGTTTTCATCGGCATGTTGGAAGAGGGTAAATTGAAAGCGGTCATCAGCAGCCTTACGTTATACCACCGTTACGTACATGACATCTTCGTCCTACTTGACGCCTCTGGTAACATCGAGGAGCTCACCAGTGTATTTAACCAGTTACACAAGGCTATACAGTTCACCTACGAGGTAGAAGAAAACGGTGCTTTTCATTTTCTCGATGTAGTTTTAAAAAGACTTGATGGTGGTACAGTACAACGCCGCGTTTGCCGAAAGTGTACTTGGAGTGGACAGTACACAAACTTCCATAGCTTTGTGTCGCTTCGGATAACGAGAAACTTGGTCCTCGGTCTCGTGAACCGGGTCGAAAGAATCTGTTAGAAATATACTCTTTTCGAAGAGTTGTAGCGCATACGATCGACGCTTAAGGAGAATGGCTAACCAAAGAATTTTATTAATGCCAATATGAGGCGAAACAGGTTAGGCATCTACGGTACTGACAGCGGAACGGAAACCTACTTTCCTGCAACTGCCTTACAAAGGGGATATAGTATCAGATAATCTATCCTACCGTATCTCGTCTACACCCAGGAATACCTTCCCGTCGGCGAGGCTGCAAATCCGGTGAGACTAAACCTCAAGGATAAGCTGTCTGTCCACACCAAATCAATGGGTGTTTACTTGTTCCCTTGCAGCAGATTACGTCGATCGTACGACAAGACGCTTATGCGAAAGAGTGAAGGAACACCATTCGGCCTTGCTCGGAAACGGAGGCCATAAGGTCATGGACTCAGCCATCGCCGCGCATCTTACGAATACGCGTCAGACCACCAACTCGGCTGATTCATTCGAAGTAATCTATGAGGCCCCAGAACATCGATCAAAATATTTCCGTAAGCGGATATTACACGCCGCAGAATCCATTGCCATTCGGTTGTACGAATCAGCGCTGTGCACGCAAGATTGTTTTACTCACGCTTTGAGTCTATCTCGGACAGAACGGACTGCATTTGAGCTGTGCAAGCGTGTGACTACTACTGGAACCTGATCGACGGTTTGTCATAGCGCACTAGAATGAATTTGGCTGACTGACAACCCGTTGGGTCTGCATGCAAAATATTTCGTGTCTCGCGTAATCTTCGTTTGCTCAGTAGGAGGACATACTTTGCGATTTGTTAACATTTCGATTGATCTCATCAGTCGCTACCCAATGTATTCCG